TTCAGAACAGACAATGCAATCTCTTTAGTTAAAAGAGTCCAAATTAATACATCTTGAATAATGTATTAATGTGTACAATCTGGTTCAAGAATTTAGAGTATGAAATTTGAAGGCAATCTCTTGCACTCACAGTGCAATTCTAAACATTGATATAGGACTAAGGCTGGTTTTATTAAATTCTGATTATTCATGCAACTTGATCCTGTGCTTGCTTTCTGAACCTGATATCCTAATAAAAAGGTTTCTGAGTATCCTAGAGTTCTTTGGCATAGACACTTTGGTCTAGCTAACACTGAGACCAACACATAGTTAGCATTCATTATATTTTTAAAATACAGTACACATTTCTATGTGATTTTATTCATTGTCTTCTCATTTTTCAAACTCAGTAGTAATAAATCTAACAGCCTTTTCACACATGAGGCTTAAACTGGGGCCTTGCTATGCAGTTGAAATTAAAATTCAGATGTTGTTGGTAAATCAGCATGCTCATTTGCATTACAAATATCTTCCTTTGCTTTCTGCAGGGCCTTTAACTATAATAATACCCAAAGAAATAGAAGGCAGAAAATCTGGGCTGAGGAATCTTTGGCCTTCCACATATTTTGGATTGCAGTTCCCTTTAGTCCCTTGGCAATATGGCCAATGATAAAGGATTATAGGAGCCTTAGGCTGCATCTGCACTGCAGAAATAATCCAGTTTGACACCACTGTAACGTTCATGGCTCTATCCTATGGAATCCTGCGACCTGTAGTTTGTTGTGGCACCAGAGCTCTCTAGGGACAAGGCTAAATGTCTCACAAAACTATAAATCCCAGAATTCCATGGCATTGAGCCATGGCAGTTAGAGTGGTGTCAAACTGGATTATTTCTGCAGTGTAAATATAGCCATAATCCAGACCATCTCTCAAGAATCAAAGGATCCCTGGTTTAGGTCATAATATTAAGATGTGTTTTCTGCATAAAGACCTGTAAGTAATATCAAAACTTGCATAGTCCCTTTGCAGATAGTTTAAGGCCAGATAGAAAGTGGCAGAGCTTCCAATATTTAAGGCCAGATAGGAAGTAGCAGAGCTTTCAATATTTTACAATTGAAAAACGAGGCCATTTGTAAGGTTCCTCTCTGCATCCTCTCCTTAACCTCTGGCTTCCTTTTTTCTCCCCTTTGATGGCTTCTATTCCTTGGCCACTACCTCTACATAATTTAAATTTTAAGTTGATACTTGTAACAAACACAATAAAGAATAATGCAGCACTTTTCTTGCAGCAAAAACTTTAATGGCCAGGGTCTACTTAAATATACAAGAAAGAAGGCAGTAAGGATGTAATAACATGTCTATTCTAATGTAAAGAGATCTAGGAGTTCAGTACTTACAACACAGCCTTTTGCATGTTTACTGAAAGTAAACTCCACTGTGTCCATTGGGCTTTATTCCCAAGTATAACATACTGGAGCATAACCTTAGAATAGACACAGAATCCAAAGATATAGCCCTGTTAGCCTATAAAATCCGTACAATGCATCTGAGGAAGTAGACTTAAGTCTATTGCTGCCCAACTTCTTTCTTTCAATTAGTCTCAAAGGTGCTACAAGATCTCTTTACATACTGATTTTACAGGCTAACAAGGCTATATCTTTGAATTCTATGTCTATTCTAAGGTCATAATCCTGTACGTATTTACTTGGGAGTAAGACCCAATGGACACAGTGGAGTTTACTTTCAGTAAACATGCATAAGGTTGTGTTGTAAGTACTGACCTCCATGCTTCAAACCTAGCAAAGGAAGGTCTTACCACAACTGTGGATTTTTGAGGGCACAAAGCTTCACAAATCACTTCTAGCAAATATTTAGATTGTAAAGTTCATTGACAACAACTGTAGATCTCTAGAAGTTTTTACAGCATGGACAGTTATCACTGATTATGGGAGCTGAAGTCTGGAGCTCTCGCTTCTGTCAAGGATGGCCCTACTATTATTAGGCAGAGTAGTACAGCTGAATTGGTCTACAGATTTGGGGTGTTTATCAGTTGTTGTTTCGTACTGTATTCTTACCATCAGGAAGAAGTGTGTATTGGATGCTTTCCCCTTGCATCTGCCAAAATAACTTGGTTGGTGTTAGGTATTATATAGAATCATAGAATTGGAAGAGACCACAAGGGCCATCCAGTCCA